GATGGTCCAAGAGGCCAAATACTTGGAAAAAGTCCAGGTAGACTATGTCGATTTCGTGTATAGCATCAACTAATTCCGTCCAGCTCGCTCTGGCTAGTAGCAGGACCGATTTCGGCGGAATCCATGCTGCTGTGACACTGAGTTAGTTGCCCTCAAGGTGACCATGAGCGCCTCTGTTATAATAACTTCCCTATATAGTGGTTATTGACCTCACGGTGAAATATAAAAAACCAAGTAGCCGAAGGATAAAAAGCATGACTATTCTCCCTGTTCCTATTCACCCGCTGTCAATTTTATGCAATATTCCCTTCATTGAAGAAGCCGTTTTGCAGCTAGTATCCTTGCATACACACGGCTCTGCTGGAGTTGATACCTTTCGGCGAGAGCCTGTACAAACAGCAACTAGTTAGCTAGCAGAACCGCTGTCCAACTTCCATCAGCGCTGTATAGGAGAGATAAAGATTCCGTTAGTATAAGTGCGAGGAGTAAGCACCTGTATATATGAGGCAGCATTTCGCATGTATCCTTCTGATTGCCATCCGATGATGTTGCTTCCTGTGCTTGCTAAGGTCAAGGAAGCTGTCACCGCCAATGCATTGATGCCGTAGTCAATAACCTAGCACAATACTCCCAAAGAAACATTGCATCACCGAAATCATTCATGTACTACTAACCAGTTATTGCACATAGCGGTTGGACCGGATACGTTGATGTTAGAGCAGGAATTAATGCCATCTACCTGGAATTCTCGAAGGCGTTTTATCCCTTAGATCAACGATTTCTCATCCAAAAGCTTGGGAACGATGGCACGGGCAGTGCACGCAAACGTCAGTTAAAGATTAGCGTCTGGCAGTCCTTGCCAACACAATTCAGGTCCAGTACAGTGTATCGCAAGTCTCGGTGCTGGGACTTCGTCTTCTCTCGATATTCAGACATAACCTAACCTTAGCAAATGCTTCCATTTTCGCATACTTCGTAGCTGATATCATCATACAGTGAGCGATCAGCATCAAGCAGAATTCAATTCTTCATCAATAAGCATTATTTCTGTAAAGTCGACTCAGCGAGTATTACAGCAGATTTGGTGAGCAGAACTCCTGCAGTAACCTGTCCGTTCACATCCATAACTATCGATCCTGCTGGGCTGATGAAGCTCCTCCTTTGACTCATTTAAACAAATGGTAATTAACCCGCTCAAACGTCGAACAATCAGTGTCCATTGATCGAATCCGTCATGTGTCGCCCGCTGGTTGTTTAGCTCGCTTGTTCGATCCATCAGTTCACTCTGATAAGATACTCCCATCAGAAAGGGGACCTCGCACAACCTCGAAGCAGCACTACGCGATCTTGATGCGCTTTCGAAGTGGCCATTTTAGAATACCGTACCATTCACTGTATAAAAATTTGGAGTCCTTCAGTGACTCTATAGGCATGACTGCATATGTAGGCTTAGGTCACGCATCTTGCAGACCAGTTCCCAGGAATGCCACTTTAGAGACTTCACACAGAGTGAGCTCAACACTTCCAAATAGTCTGATACAGCTGCAAAAGGAGGCGAGCAACACCTACTTCTTTAGAAACAAAGAGTGAGATTGTTGGGAGTTTTCAGCTGACGTTATTGAAATCTACACGGTGATCTCATACATATCTAGCAATCACATTGCTGCCATCTACTAAAACCCAACCACATTACCAACGTTAGAGGTAAACGCCGACAACTGAGTGAACAGTACCATCGTCTAGAACACTTAAAGAATCACTTTCTGATTTGACAAACATGGAACCCTCTCTGAAACTCAGTTCTAGCCTCCACGACTTCAGATATTTTTAAAGAATCTTGTGTTACTCTTGACTTCCAGCACTTGGTTACCTAAGCTGTGCACTTTGGAGTATATTAACCATACCCTTCTACCGGATTTATATACCAAACTGCCCCAAGGAGGCAGCACATGATTGAACGAGTTTATTTCTCTCACACAATACGTCAACTACCACTCTGCACCACGTCGTTCTATATGCTTTCGTTTAATTCGTAGTTTACACTATCATTATTCATCCACCCATTTAGCTCAACGGGCATTTAAGCAGATGAGTTATGTGTCTTTTGACTCCGTAGTTTCATCTCGGTCATCTTTTGGGACTTGTCAGGCACGTGCTTTTCCACCCTTTATAAATCATTGTTCAGTGTTCAAGATTGAAGAGCATTAAGAGCGCATAAGTGTCACCTTGAAAACAATCAATTAGTTGCTCAATCTTTAATCTGTACTGTTGACGGTTACGGTTTCCTTTGGTTTGATGGAAATTGTCGATGTCTCTAAAATCGTCTTCCACACGAAAACTGATTTAGGTGAGACATGTTTAGGAATAAACCGAGAGGCAGCACTTTCATGCGATTCACATTTTACAATGCACAACCTCAACTGGGTGGTAGACCCCAAACACGATGCAGAGATTCCCGGCAGACGAATTCAAGTCCAAACAACTAACTTTCGCTTGACGATCTCAACCAACTGGATAGACCCAAACATTTCTGTTCAATAATAGGGTGTTAAAGTTCAATAACATGGACTGACACTGTCGCTGTTAACTATATCATAGAAATAAAAATGTGTATTTCGCTTGACAATGTTAGTTACGCCTGCAAATGCATTATCACGTTGACCCAAACACTAAGGACCGGTATATGTAAATAACGGTGAAGGTTTATAAGTCACATGTGGATCTATGTGATGGCTGTACGTGAATTTATGCAGATATGAATGTGAGTGGCTGTGTTGCTTAAATTTGTATTGGTGACATCGCAGTTGTGATTGCTTTCCGCTGGCTCGTCATCATGAGAAGGGATGAAAAGAAATCTTCGTATTAGATGACTGACTTTAGCGCATGGGTTTAGGTCATCCGGATATGTAAGTGGCAGTGACTGTTGTTAGTGACGGGTCACATTCGTCGCGTCGCAGTGTGGATAGACAGCCATTTGTGACTTTCTGTAGGGAGAACGCTTACCAGGCGAAAACCCAACACGCCCTGGAACATTGCCACCAAACCATTCACCGGGACGTGATTAACCCGAACCAGTGAGCTAGTACCATGAGGAGGTTGTTCGACTTCTAGTATGAGATATAATTTTGAGATTACAGTAGCCATCACCAGTGAATATATGTTTTAGTAAATTAGTTATAAATTGGTCATTTTTAGTTTGCCTTTCGCTGATCTTTTTGGAGACCGCTTCATGAATTATAGTGTGAACCATACCAGAGTTAGTTGGACTTTAGCTCCGAATAGAATGTACTGGATTTAGATAGCTTTCGCATAGACGACTGAACTTCACCTCATATAGCTGTGAACGAGGTAACGTAGAATTGTCTAGAAAAAAAGCTCAAGCTTATGTCCGAACTAGTGACTTGCATAATCTCAGTATCCGTTAGGGAGTGCATCGTCGTTGGTTGTACGTGCTTCTTACGTCGGAGTGCTGTCAGTGGGAAAACAGTCTATTTCAGATGAAATTCCAGTGAGATTGCAGACGTCGGTTAGCACCCAAGTTTGTCATGGTCGGTAGTTAGACGGCCTATGTCAATCCATTTGCACAACGAATGCTACAAATGAGTTCGTAATGGGTCTACCAGTGCCATCATGTACTCTAGCTCACATGCTACTGATGCGTTTCCAATGTTATTGGAAAATTATTCTACCGCCTCTATCGACAAAAATAAGCAGCAACTGAAATTCTGTTAAGCAGCTTCGGTAACCTACAAAAGCTTCAATAGGTGTGAGTAACTATTTTATTTTTTAACTTCTTGATTTGAAAGACGGCTTTTCGGCTAACTCATAAGGAACCGGACTGTCATCCTTGCGGCCGGGGTTCGAATCCTGTGTGTGCTACCTTTTGTACTAACTCCACAATACATCTACGATGCAAAGCAGATTTCGATGCCTCCTGTGTAAGGATGACATACAAAAGTTAAAACTTAAAATTTTATACGCCTGAATCTCTAAAGTAATGCTTCTCCGCATCCCATCGTCATTCTTGTACCTTATTCTAAGTTAGGTTAAAGCACCAAGTCATACGTTTACACAATATTGCTTACCAGGTTTATTAGAGTACCAGTTTTCTTCATTGCCTACTCGTAAGACATCAGCAAGCTATCACATTGCTTATTTGGCCTTCTTTCATCATAGAGGCTCAGAAGGAATAATCACTTAATTTCCCGCATGTTCTGGTGTATGTAGTTTCCCCGGCTATTTGGTAGCCACTACGGCAACAAATTGTCCGTATCCTTCGCCGTTAAGCGGAAATCTGTCGTAGGACTATTTTAAGTTGGGGAGCCCGCTGTCCTCTGATCTACCGCGCGTATCCCAAAGCTCGCGGGATAGTAGGATTCCCCGCTATCGTTCTCAAATGGGTCTGACAAATAATCTTAAAGCCACGGCCTGCCGACAATGCTTAAATAAATGGCCAGACGTACCTACAATTTTTCTCTAGGAAAAGTCTCTGTGTTAGTGGATCTACTACATATAATAGTAACTTGGACACTATTAGCATTCAGATGTTAATAATAAGATAGCATTATATTATCAGAAAAACAGCCCCCTTCTTCTCAGCGTAACAAAATTAAAAGGGTCCTTACACGTACCACTCTAGTTGAATGATGGAAAGTCGTTATCCATCATGAAATCTGTTCCCCAGTTTCCTTGGTGTGGTACACCAATCTGTGGAACAAAATACCAAAACAAATGCGTATCGGTGCAAATCTCTAAGCACTCCGAACAACTCCAAATACGTTCCTCACTATAACGAATTCGTTAAAGCAATTTGATCCAGAGCAGTCTATAAATGCACAAACTGAGTCTGGCTTGTGTAACATACCTAGAGCTAAGAACTTACAGTCAAATCATTTTTCCTTTATCATTATCCACACTAGGAAACTTGTATCTGAGCCACGTATTCTGCCCCCTCAGTACCGACTGTTCCCGCGTTTCACTACGCAACAAGTTTAAAACTAGAGCAAAAACAACCGGACTCAATGAATGGGTTACGAAGGATTGGGCCAATAATTTAAAAAACAATTAATACAGTTACTTCGTTAAACCTTGAAGATTCAGAAAAATTGTTAAGTGAGAACTCTTTCCATATTTGTCAGGGCGTGGAACCGATAGCTACATTTCTGAGTATAAATGAAGGATTGTCACGAAATGTGCCAGTTTATTTCGTTATTTTTGTTTTGTTTGGGTTGAGAGAGGACTTCAGCAATGTATTCCAGGAGGTATAAACGTTGGGTCGTATAGGTAAGTTAAAAGTAACGAAATTATAAAAAGAAACAACTGGTGAATGAAAGTTTTTGATGTTTCAACAGAACGAAGGGAACGGTTGAAAAGGGTCGGAAGCCTCAATGCGAATACGTCTGAGCCGTAAAATAAGATGCCTGGATGATTCATCGTTTGCATTGAACCTTCCGAAAATTACTCAAAAAACAGTATGCGATGAATGTTAAGGGTTGCAATAATCCGCCGTTAGTAATAAAATGGTTAGAAGGCGTTATCACAAACACATATTGTCCTTCTTCAAGTGTTTGCGATGACAATGGTCCGGCCAACATTTTATGCTATCTTGGTGAGTGACTACCCGACTAGTCACGCCTATGTTTGGCGCTATTTTTCCTGTCATCTTCATCATCTTCGTCGTCATCGTCACCGTTGTCATCGTCACCATTGCCATTCTCATCGTCACTAGTGTCACTGTCGTCTTCCTCGTCAGTCTCTTCGTCATCACTCTTTTTGTCTTTATCATCTTCGTCATCCTTGCGCCCCTTTCTCCTTCTATCTAAATCTCCAGTTGGTTTTAAATAACCATCTGCTGGCGAAGGAGTAACCGGTTGTTCACAAAATAACGAAAAATACAGTGACGTTGCCGATCTACACTGTTGTACTTTTTCCTTTGTAGAGGTAACAGTCATAAAGCTAGTTTCTGTGGACGGGGAACTAGTCTTGGATTCCGTTACATTAAATAAGACATCAGACGTTGCCACAGCTGCGGTAGATGTTCTAGTTGTGTCTAATGCAGATACAGTTCCATCAGTAGCTGGTGCTTTAGAACCTTCAGAATCGGTTACAACAGCAGATGGGAGTGCTCCCTCAGTGGGCGTACTCTCATCAGTGAATTGTGGTACAGGAGGAGCAGCAGGTGGGCCCGTATATTCAGGTTCACTTTGTTTGACTTCACTAGTTACGTTCTGTTCAGTCGAGTGGATGTCAGTTGCAGTTGCATCAGTCGTACTGAACTCAGTGCTTGTTGGAGATGGTGCATCAGACTGCGCTGAATGCGCTGAAGAGCGAACGCCATCTGATGATGAGACAACGCTGGCGGGAGCAGCAGAGGCAGGGGTTACGGAAACATCATACTGGGAGTCTGTTACCACACTCGATCCTGTAGTTGAAGTGCCAGTTTTCTGCGCGATGGACGTGTTGAACTCACTGATAGCAGCGGTTGAAGATCGTGCATCTACCGTGGAAGATGTTGGTAGGTCGTCAGGTTCACTCACGTTTGCCAAATGGTAAGCAGGTGTGGAAAGAGATTTAGTAGAGCCAGTAGCCTCAGGCATATGGGATTCGGTAGTAGAAATCTTAGTAGCATCCACAGTAGTGTTGCCTGTCTCTTCGACTGATGAAGTTGGTTCGCTTGAGCCAATAACTGTGGATTCGGAATGCTCCATTGCTGAAACCACAGCTCCAGACACTGGTCTCTCGGTACCAACACTTGATATTTCACTGGAAACCGTAAATGAAGCATCGGCCACAGTGGTAGAAATCTCAGTGATTTGGGAAGACGATGAAATCAGTGAAGCAGACGATTCTGCAGTTGTTGCAGTCAGAGACGATGTACCTGCTGCCGTTTGCCTGGCACTGACGTCTGTGGTTTCCATGGGACCAGTCGGTGAGGTATCGGTTGCGCTGGCAGCAGAGGTAGAAGTATCGACTGGCGTCCCAGTGCTCGATCCAGATACAGTAGGCTCGGGAGTACCAGTGACGTCGGATTGCGTTGTGTAATCAGTGGATAGAGATCTGTCGGTCTCCTCGAAGGTTGTTGTGGTCTCTGTTGCAGAAGTTTCAGAACCAGACACGTGCAAGCCCGAATCACTTGTTGTGATCATACTCGGATCAGTAGATAACGCACTCGGATCGGTTCGCTTCTCTGAGCTACTGGTCAGATATTCTGCATTAGTTGTGCTGAATTCCGATGTGTCACTGGTTCCAGTGTGGATTAGCGGATCCGATGCTAGGAGCGGAAGAAAGCAATATCGATGTTATCATAAAGCATGAGAGAAAGGGCTTGGTTAAGCATTTCTATAGCTATTTATTTGCGTCATTTTACTATCACACAGCTGCGTACCCCGTCTCAAAGTACACATTCGAATCACATTTTACGACGCGAGCCAGCCAGCTGGGAAGTAGATATACGTATCATCACTTTTTGAAATCGCTGGTAGCGACCATCTTGTTAACTTATACTTTCACCCTGTCATACTGTCTAATAGAGAAGTGAAATTAATTAAATATGTTTAAAATGCATAGGCGTAAACGTGGCCCCGTTCTGATTTTCACTGCTGATGCAACACTTATATTCTTATATGACGTGAAGCACCTATCGAGGTTTTACTGTTTATAACTAGTTGCTCAAATGGTTGGCGGCATCTGGTTTCAGATTTGCTTATCACTGTGACCAACATAGGACAATAACAGGACAAGTGCGCTTGCGTTGCACTATCCACGGATTCATCCACACACCCCATGGCCTGTGTAAACACGAAAGAATAAAAGCGGAATGCAAGCGGATGGGAGCCACTGTTTATCAACGGAGCCTGCCCACACATCTTTAAATTGAAGAGCAACAACACTCTTGTCTATCAAGGTGTGGAATCAAACGCAATAGACAAACACAAAGTGCGGCTGGCCCGTAGTCCGCTCCAAACTTGATGTATGGAACAATTATATGAGCATAACACGACCATGAGGAACGTACACTCTTTCGCTCCCAGCAACGATCCAGTTAACTGGAGACTGTAATTGGGGTGGGCGGTGCCAGACACTTAGACAATTTAACCACATACACATGAAGTGCAACCACACCGGTGATATCAGACAACGAAATAGGAAATAAGCGAACAAATTTGACACGGATATGCAGTAGAATAATGGAAATGCGCAACTCAAATATATTGGAATACATGTTATCCATATCAAGAAAAACTAATTTAAGTCTTAGTCGGCGCAGCCAGGCAAAGGTGAAGAAGCGTAATGTACGGAACATCAATCTCAGCGTCAAACATCGCGTATATATATATATATATATATGTATATTTATTTATACAGGCGGAAGAGTCTAGGGTGTGCAGTGGCCGGTATTAGCTAGATCCTGACAGATGGTCTACCAACTGCTGGTATTCTTTTGCCATGAACTCATGTCCTGGAAGCCTCCTCATAGTGACCGCTGGGTAGAGTTGGGTTATCTCCTTCTTCCTGCTAATATCCAGGGCGCCAATCCGCAAGAAGCAGTGAACTGACCATGTGCTAGACCCGCTGCATTTTGGGTGTACGTTTAATTGAAGGATTTGGCTGAGGACCCCAGTCGTTCTCCTGTCAGGTGTGGGCGCCCTGACTGTATCATATTCCATCCTCTTCCGAGGTTAGGAAGTGGTCGATGGCCCTCTTCCTCTAAAACCAACCCATGGGAGTCAACAGGTCTACACGTTATAAGCTCACAGCACGATTCGCATAAAGCACGAACGCCACGCATCGTCTCTGACGGTGGGAGAGCACCTGCGGGTGCTCAATGGTTTTTATTGCCCGCCTCAGATCAAACTGGTGCAAACCCGCCAAAAACTGTGTCTAGCCGTGGTCGCAGGTGCGTATCCTGCTACGGTCGCAAGACATACACGAATCGTTCCAGTACCTCAAAGTCTGCGTGTGACGGACCTCCAGCAGACCTCAATCTGTCTCTGCAACCACATTCCCGAGCTGGAGCTATTATTCAATGTGTTGTTGATCAGGCTATTGAGCCAAAGGCTCGGGGCGCATTCCCTCAAGCAAACCTTCAAATCACCCACTGCTTTTTGGATTAGTCTATTGAGCCAAAGACTCCGGCTGAAGTCCCTCAAGCAAACCGCCGAAACACAACCTCCACCTCGCGTGCGATTACCCACCAATGCAATCGTATGCCTGCGCGCAAAACACTAGTGGCATCGGGTGCTGGAACGTGCACACTCTACTGAACCGGAACTAGACTGAGCCCTTCGAGGGACGCACTGCACTGGTCGCGATGGAACTGGCGCTACAACATCGATATTGCAGCACTCAGTTAGATCCGGCTTGCTGAGCAAGGTAAGTTGAATGAAGCAGGTGCTGCCTACACATTCTACTGGGTGGGCAACGCCACCTCAGCCCTACGTGAACATGGTGTCGGATTTGCAATATCTGATCGCTTCAAAGGCCATCTGATTGGTGAACCAACGGGCATCAGCATGCGACTGGTTATTGCTGGCCTACGATTCGGAAGAGGTAAGTTTGCCACTTTTATAAGCACGTACGGTCCGACCATGTATTATCCTGATGACACGCGTGATCAATTCTACACTCCGTTATCCTCCATGATACGGTCTGTGCCGAAGTGCGACCGACTATTTCTGCTGGGTGATTTTAACGCTCGCGTGGGATGGTGCATCGGTGTGAGCAGACGTTATGGGTTCGCATGGCATTGGTTCAGCGAATGCGAACGGTGACAAGCTGCTCTCACTGTGTGCCACTCACTGCCTGACGATCAAGAACACTCGGTTTGCGCTGAGTGCGAGTGATGTAGCAACTTGGACACACTCACGGGGTTGCCACACTCACCTGCTCGAATATCTCATCGTACGTCAGCGTGATATGCGTGAAATGTGTATGCCACGTGTACTGCGTGGAGTTGAGTGTGGCACTGATCACAAGTTGGTGCAAACCAAACCGTACATTTCTTTTCATAAGTCTATATATTGCATTTCCGCCGTGAATCAGCGTAAATTTAACATTTTCTCCCTCGGTACTGTGGCGAAACAATGGAACAATAGAACAATGGTTTATAACGGGTAAAAGTGCATCGCTTAACAAGTCCGCGGGATGAAAATTATTGCGAAAAGTGAATTGCATGCTAAAATGAAAATCGTTTTGGTGCACTTACCATAGGTTGTGTGGAATAGCAAAGAAGTTTGCGTATTTACTGAATACTGAATACTGTATTATAGAGCAAGTAGAAATGGATTCTGTACAACTCTTTCGAAATATTGTGAAAAACATTATAATAGTTGTCAACCGTGAATATCCTTGTCGTTCTCATGTAATATTTAAAATATTCGACCTACGATATTTCAGGATTCACAAATGTGATATGTCATCGTAAGTATGCAGTCGTTCTCTGAATCGAATAGAGGCAAAATGTAAATCTAACAACGTTTTGAACTGTTGCACGGATGTTGCCTCAATCACATGTTCAGGCAAACTATTCCAAATGTTTACCACTCTCCGTTCGAAGCACAGTGGGTGGGGAACACGTTTCATATCCGGCACAACAAGTTTGTATCTGTGTCCGCGTGTGCTGCATGGCCCTCGTAAGTGCAGAATTGGCCTTAACATGGGGAACTCACCGAGATGTAGAATTCGGTAGGTCATAATGAGGTCGACTCGTACCCGACGGTAGGACAAGGTGTAGAGTCCTAGTTTCTCGCACCGGTCTTCATACCCCAAGCCACGTAAACTCGGGATGAGCCTAGTAGCAACGTGTTGGACCCGTTCGAGCTTTTGTGCCTCGCCTCGGGTAATCGGAAAGTAGGCGGGCGAACCTTACTCTAGCATTGGTCTAATGATAGAAGAGAACAGGCGAGTGGCAACCTCTTCAGACCATGTGCAGAAGCTACGTTTGAGCGCCCAAAGCATGCGCAGTCCGTTCCGATATAGCCTGTTCGTGTTGTCCACGGACTTCAAATCGTAGCGTGAGAGTACACCTAGGTCCTTCACGGAGGGTGTGGGATATAGCGTTTGGCCGTCAAGGGTGTAGGTTCGGCCGTCTGCACCCTTCCCCAGGCTCAGAAATACCGACTTGGCTGGGTTGACCGGGAGAAGAACTTCTGCAGACCATGTGGATAAGCGGTTGAGATTTTGCTGAAGTAGGCCACAGTCATCGGGAGCGTCGATTTCTCTCCAAATCTTCATATTGTCCACAAACAAGGCACACGGTGACCGGAGACGCTGCGGTAGATCGTTGATGTGGATCAGGAACAAAATGGGCCCCAGCACAGTGCCTTGAGGCACGCCACTTGTAGAGGGGTACCAGTCAGTTAGATGGTCGTCGACCTGTACCCTCCACTTTCGTCCAACAAGAAAGTCGCGGATCCACCGGTGTAGTGAGCCACCGACGCCACACATGCTGAGTTTGTGAAGGAGAACCTCATGACTGACCTTGTCGAACGCTTTACTGAAATCGATGAATATCACGTCGACGGACTTCCCCTTGTTTATTGCCTTCAACCACTCATGCCTCGTCACAAGCAGGTTAGTAATGCATGAGCGACCTTGCATAAAAACGTGCTGTGCGGGCGTCAGGACCTCGTTTGACTGTAGCAACGGCAGCAATCTCTTCTTCACCATTTTCTCAGCAACCTTTGCCAATATAGGTGTCAGACAAATTGGCCTGTAATTGTCTACTTTGCTAGGGTCGCCGCCTTTCGGAATAGGCTTCACCACCGCACATTTCCAGTCAACCGGCAACAAACCTTCGGAGAGCGACCTGTTGAAAAGGTCAGTCACGATAGGAGAGAGGATGGTTGAAATTGACTTGAGAACCAGTGGGTGAAGCCCATCAGGTCCGGCAGGTTTGGTGCCGTCAAGGTTGGCGAGTAGTTGGGCTACCTCTTCGACACCGCAATGCAGACTATCGAGTTCGGTAAAAGCGGTACACGTCGAACTCGGAACAGACACCTGGTTATTCGCAAATACAGAAGCGAAGTGCGCCGCCAACGCGGACGCACGCTCAGTGCTGGAGGTTAGGGACTGTCCATCCGTGCCATCCAGCACTGGCACATCACCCGCCGGCTTCAGGCGTCGCTTCACGTATGCAAAGATTCTCTTTGGGGCGGTCTTCGCGGCTAATGCGAGCTGCTCTTCAAAGTGTCGGCGTTTATTCCTTTTTGCACTGTTGCAGAGATTCTGCTGACAGTTATACCCTTCGTAATCATTGGCAGAGCCAGAGAG